AAATCTAGAACCGAATGATGGAAAGTTACCGGATAATTATATAAATTGATAAAGTGTTAAGAATTGTAATTAAATCCTGTAAAATGTTTTTAATAATTCGAGCCAAAATTCGAATTAAAATACAGAATTCTAGAAAGGAATGCGATTAGAAGTGATGGAGAAAGAGGAGATGAGAAAGAGCATTGACCAAGTTATCCAACCACAGATGTAGAAAGAGGAGAATCGTCCACTATAAGGTTACAACCATTTACAGTAAAAATGAATAAACAAAATGGTACATTCCCATTTGCTCGGTATCCTTATATATCCCAAAGATTCCAAGTAACTCGCTTGTAAATCCTCGGGGAACAAAGAAAGATCCTCCACAGGGAACGTACTACAATCGGAAAAGTTTTAAGTTACGTGAAACGTTGTGTTGGCTACAGATATGTGTATCCAGCACAACACCGATACGTGACAATCTCTTGGGATCCACGGCCACTTTTACCAAATTCTGAAGCGGTATTAGTGAGAAATCAATGTTAAAACATCCGGACCTGTTGGAAATATTGCCGTATCGTCATTGCCTTAATTTTGTTTCCAACTCGTTTATTGAACGCTCTCCATCACCAATAATCGCTTATTTTGTTGATTTATAGCAAACATTTCTTTAAAACAACTAAAAAAACCATTTAAACTCCGTTATGTTCCCTCCTTCCCAATGAATTCTTCTCTTGCAAAAATCCTGCTGGTGAAAAATTGATGAGAAGAGAATTTAAAATAATATTAATTATTATACAGAATTCTGAGTTATAATATGTTATTACGTTCTCTTAATACGGTATATATTTATAGAAACATAAGCAGAAAGCAATGATAATGGATGTAGGTCCATCAACTCTCGAAGGTATTAAGAGAGTGTTTGCCAAATTTGTTACAATTTACAATTTCGTTAAGATAATTTCTAACTAGCAAAATTGGCAACAGTTAGATAATAAAAGCAGCAATTTGGCAAACATTTCGAAAATTTGAACCTTGATCTTCCTTCCGATTGATCAGTTATAATTGATCTTTGGGCTCTCTTCCAAAATACTTGCCAAAACCTCTTAAGGACTCAGGTTTGAGAAAAATTATCTCCAATAAGTTCGGTTAATGAATCATTTTGATCAGAATTATAAAGGTTTTTCGATGCGTAAGAGTGTTAGATAATGGAATAAAACGTGGAAGTGCTCTCAGTTAAAGTTTAGTTTCTGGCCAACAATTTTGTCGAGGGATGAAAGATGTTAGATTAAAGTGTGGAGTGTGTCCACTTTTTAATATTAAAGCTCATTTAACATAGAGGCCGATGGTAAGATTAAAAAAAAATTAAGAAAAGGTTAGAAATTCGGAACGAATCTGGAGCAAGAACAAATAGAAAAGCGTAAAATTTCGCAGTGGCTGCAGAAAGATGCGATCTGTTCCGAGTCGAGCCAGTTGAAGAGCAAACATCAAATATACGTTACGTGAAGCAGAAAAGAGAGAAACAAGGAGGACAAAGGACGGACAGAGGTCCATTTTATTCAATTAATTAAAATTCCGTTATCGAACGGTGGTTAAGTGCTTTACAGTCTGTTAATATGGCGGCCGATACATACCTGACATCTGGCAATAACTTTCAGCTGTTCTCCCACTTTATGACAGATTACCATTCAAGACGTTGTTAAAATAAAAATGACCCAATTAAACGTTGCTTGTTAATTATGCAACACAATTAATTGTTGCAAATATTCCCCATTTTGTTCCCCCTAATTGATAACATTATCAAATTTCTTATCATCGATTTTACAATCTCCTCATTGTTACTTACCTTCTCGCTTTCAATCATTTTTCTTAATTGTCGGACTGACCTTATGACAAAATTTTCCTTTTAAAATTACTTCCTCTCTTAATTCTTCTACCCGTTCATTTATTATTCATTCTTCATAATTAAAGTTATCTGTAACAAGTGGAGGCTTTTTTTTCCCTTTCTTACGGCTTACCAATTGACGTCTATAATCTTTACAAAGTATAGCGTCTCTATTAACACCTAACGTGATTTTCTTGCCAATTTTTAAACTTTTGTTATTGCTCCATTAATTAATTTTCTCTCTCCGACTTATAACTAAGTCTAAATTGCACATTCTTGACGTTATTTTTAACATTTGTCCAGGGTTAAATTCCTTTAAATTAATTCCAAATAAAGCAATTCTTGTGTATGTTATCACGTTTTTTTTTTCTTTGAAATTCCCTTTAAAAAATGCATCATACTTTTAGACTCGGGAGAAGGTGCTTTCCTCTTCGTCTCCGGATAAAGGATGTATCCGGCAAGCGTTGGAGAGGATGTTGAAAAATCCTTTATATTTATAAACAATTTGCATGAGATCTGTGATGTCTGAAGCGTGTGAGTGAGATTTCCGTAATGGCGCTCGCCACTCCAGTGATCCCAGAACTGATTGATGCATCTATTAATAGCAGCGAAATGGAATCTGTTCGGCACCCCACCCAGAATGCGTGCGCCTCTTCTCCCAATTAAAGAACATCAACAATTTACAGATCGGGGCGTGGTCTTCACCGGAGATTTTTTTTTTGCCTGCTTACCCCTACTTATCTTTCGACCCCCTCCCGTCGAACCCCCGAAGAGCGGGTACATGCAGATGTTGTTACGTCATAACGCGTGGGTAAGGTCTGACTTGATAAATTGTCTTTGCATATCTCAAAGGTCTATCCGTCCGGGAGAATAAAAAGCGCACAAATATTCCCGTTTCGAGCTAATGAACCACGAGAGAATATATCTCCCTAGATACCTGTCTCCTTCACCTCTTTATCTTGTAATCCTCCAGATGCTGGTTCTTAAATAGTGTAATCACTGCAGAGATTAAAGTTCTTGTAGGATTTGTGGGTGGAGAAATTTCTCATCATAATACACTCTTTACTTTACTAAAAGTAGGTTGAGCGATTTTATTGTTAACTTCGGTTTAAAGTGCAGTAACCTAGAGGTGTACAACAAGTGGAGCGATGCGGGCTCCGCTTTCTACAATATATAAATATACATACATATATATATATTTTTTTTCCCTCCCAAAAAATGTATTGTTTTGCATCAATCATTTATTTTTTTATGAAATGTGTTCTGCTGCATGATAGAGTGGAGTCGGAGAGAAGTAAAGCCAAGCAGTCATACTATATTACCATTCACTTGTCTCTTCAAAGATGGATTTAGACAGACGACTTTCGCTTCAGGAATATTCGGGTAATTCTTTTTTAAATGTAAGTGAATTCCCGAGATGAAAAGATTATTTTGTGCTTTTGAGTGTTGCTCAAAATTTTATCTACGCTTATAGCTAATTGATTATTCCATCATTCTTCTCTCCTCCGCTTGCATTACTTTCACTCTTCCTCTTGCTCTTCCACTATTTTTCGCCCATAGAATTTTGGCCCGGTGTTTCTAAATTTACTTCCCACCCGCTTTAAATTGTTATCAACTCGTAATTAAATTTGCTTACGTCGTTATTCTAGATTTAAATGACGATAATAAAATTTGCCAAAAATATTTCCAGCAACGTTAATCAATTCCTTAACGTGTATATAAAATTCGATTCGTACTATAAATTCTCGATTTTTTTCGGTTTAAAACGGTTCCTTTTATTCTCTAATTCGTATTAAACACGAATACTTTACATAGCCAACCAGCTAAACAACAATTACTTCACATTTAAAGTGTGACACGACGATAACCATTAGTGTGAAATAAATCTGAATTTATCCCCTAGAGTATCGGTGGTCTACAGGAAAAAAAAAGAATATCCAGTTGCGTCAACATTAAGTATTAATCTTCAGAATTTCTAAAAATTGTAAGGAGAGTAGCAAAGAATTTATTTTGAGAGAGCGGCTTGACCAAAACCCATTATGGGGACCAGGGATGGTTCTTAAGGACTTCCCAATGGAATGTGTAAATATTTCATCGTTTTATTGCTCATCATTGCATTAATGTCATGTGAAAGTGGAACGGAGAAGTGTATCCAAAAGATTAGCTTTTAATAATTCAGCCAAACTCGGGTAGCCAAATGACCAAGGTGTCGAGAAGACTCTAGCATTATCCCTCCTAAAAATTATTCTTTTCGCATCCAAACTGCTCACCATTATAGATTTTCAAATGAATTTTTATCATTTTGTCTACTTATTTAATAAAGTTATTTTATGAAAGCACCGTTTTATCACGATTATTATTATTAATATTTTCTTTTAAATTACAGAATTACCCGAAGAAAAAGCCGTAAAATAAGTATTAACACGAAGTAAAATAGCTTTTAAATTATTTAATTTATTTAAAATTATTTTTAAAAATTTGACTATAAATTAAAACAAATCCGTTGGAAAAAAATGAGCACAAACCTCAAGAAATTATGTTAAATGAGATATTTATTTTAAATATTACAAAATTTTTATTGTATTTATACATAAATATTTAACACAATAAACTAAAATTGAAAACAGGATTCTAAAAATTCAATTTATTCTTTTTGATTTTTGAAAACTTACAAAAATCCAAATCATCAATGAGAATGGAAAACAATTATTATTATTATTATTATTCTTTTCTTTTAATTGAATCCAAACTATACAATTGTCAGCCAAGATATACAAAAATGTTGATACAAATCTATTAAAATTATTCTTCGTTTTCGTCTTTTGTTTTTATCAAAGTAAAATTTTATTTTGATGAAAGAGAGCTGACGAAAAATCAAGTTGATATTTCGTTCGTCAGATATTTAAAAGTAATATAAAAATACTATTGTATAACATGACGAGATAACGCGAAAATCTGTGTGATTCAATTGTTTCTTCCTCAAAGAAAAAAATGCGCACAAATGGCCGAGCGAGTCTTAAATTTAGCTTGAAATAAAAATAACTTCCATTATATTTATATATACATACGTTAAATTTGTTTCATTTTTATATAATTTTAATTATAAGCGAACGAAAATGACATACGACTCCTCCACTCTACGAGAAAAATCAGGAGATTTTTTCCAATAATTATCGAGTTTATATATTTATTTACCATTAATTTCTGTTTATAAACAAAACTAGACACGTTCTCGCGTTTATTATTTACTGAAATAACCATTAACTTGCTTAGAATATCATTATATATATATATAGAAATCTCGCTCGACCCTTTGACCTGACAATTCTACTCCCAGGTTAGCCTAGTTTACATTTTCCTTATATTTTATATCTAAGGCCTAAGTTTGATATATTTACAGCTGACCTAAATTTTTAAATTAATTTTCTTGGTATCGTATAGGAAATTCTCTCTACTTATTTTTAAAGATTAGAGAAAAATCTTTAAACTTCATTAATATAATAGTCTAAATCCAGTTCAAGTTTTTTTTTTTTTAATTTTATATTTTCTCTTGGAAAATGTGAAAAATATATTATATTCAGAAATATGCTCTAAGGATGGCTTCGTATTTTTCTACCTTCAGAGAGTGCTTTTTTTTGGCAAAAAACTGCATGAAAGATCGCGAAGGAAAAAGGGTATATAATTCTCGTTGTTTAAGAAAAATTGCCAAAATTTTTTGTTTTTAAATCCCTATATTTTGACTTTCCCGTAATGCCTAGGATTTCATCCACTGAGGTATGCCACATCCGCATAGATAAAGACACGAGGCCGAGGTCGGTTAGAGTCCTTCTCTATAAGCCAAATATGGAGATTTATTAACACAGAATAGCTTATATTCACTACGTGAGACTATATTATTGCACTATCAGCCCAGCGACTAAACTATGCATCGTGTGTATTCTAAACTATATATATATATAAGTTCCTCACCTCTCTTCGTCTTCGGTAACATCCCTCGTCTGATGTAAACTTATAAAGGTGATAATGAATATAAATCAATTACATTTAATGGTCTGTTATCGTTTCTTTGTGCATAGATTTAATAAAATAAAAATATTTTAGAGATTTATGGATTACATATATATATATATTATATTGCTCGAAATTCAACGAATAGCTGAAACTACACGCTAAGTAAAGGACCACTCCGATCGGAAGTTGGTGTAAAAATTATTGCTTTGGATACACTATTGCTTGGTCGAATTGATTACGTATATATATATATGAAATTTATTGCCTATCGATAATATTTGGAGTCTCTTTAAAACAGGAGGACTCGTAATGTTTGTTCAAGTACGACTTGAGTGCGAAAGTTTTGTCACATCGTTGGCATCTGTAATGCTTAAAGGCCGAGTGCGTCTGCATGTGGGCCCTCAAATTAGACCTATCTGCGAATGCTTTACCACAGTGTGCACAGCCGTAAGGTTTCTCGCCCGTGTGCGATCTCATGTGGCCCTGAAGCAACCAGGGCCTGGAGAATGCCTTACCACACACGCTACACTTGTGATTGAGGTTGTGGGTCAGCACGTGCATGGACAGGGCGGGCATACTGACGTACACTTTACCGCAGGTCGAACATTTCTTGGCCAGTTGAGAATCGGGGCTGCGATGCGTCTGCTTGTGACGTGACAAGTTGGATGAGGTGGCGTACTGTTTACCGCATTCGGTACAAGTGTACCGAGGCCGGGGACGTTCTGGGAGTCCAATCGAATTCCTCCTTCTCGATCTCCCGTCACTGACGAAAAAGGCATCGTAAGTATAACTGACCGTAACACCGTGACTGTAAACGTGAAGTCCTCTGTCTGGTATGGATGCTGGCTCTGGTCTGGGATCAGTCAAGAGGTTGGACCACGGTGTCGTCGGTGTGGTATTTTGATAAAGATTATCTTGAATTCTGCTCGGGGTTTCTTGCCGTATGACTGTAGCCTCGCTAATCGTACCTACAAATGAATAGCGTGTGTAAGTTTTCTACATTTCTTAAATAAACTATTTCATATAACTCCATAAGTGGACGTCCAGATAAAAAAATAATAATAATAATAATTACTCATTTTAAATTCCGATGTGTTATTATCAATGGGAAATTAGGACAACAAAAAGATAAGAATTAAAAATTAATAGGGATAAGTTATCGATCATACATTTATAGACTAATTTATTAAGCCGAGCACACCACATCCACTATGCTAAGTAGATTGGATTTTAATAAATTAAGATTTAACTTTATAAATGGCACATTCGATAACCGAATAAACATACGAGTAACTCGCGATTAATTACTTATATTCCGAACAAACAAAATATTCCAAAAGTCAAATATTTTTAAAATAATTTTTATAAATTTTTTTCTACATAAAAATCTATAGAAACCTTTACTAAAATTAAATACTTATAAGATGCTTTACCGGTAGGACAATTTTAGAATTGCTCCTGTAAATGTTGCTTTTCCGTGAATTAAAATGATATGCAGTGAAGCCGTCTTTCCCTCCACAATAAATTTGCAATGGTTTAATATATTTTTCTCTATATTAAATTTCCGGATATTAAAATAAATACGTATAAAATATTTAGTCAAAAAGTTAATTTTGATTCCTTAGAAGGTAATTTAATTGTATTTAGAGAAATATTTTATTATAATTGTGGCCTTAGATATCGACTGCTTCTTCTAATAAAGTTTCTTAGCAGTTGAAATTTTATTCGTTTAAAAAATACTTTTCTGATATTTCTTGACATTTATATAAAAACTGTTGAAAAGTTTATTCAAATTTCAATTAATATTATTAGAATTTATTCAATTGCGAATTAAAATAAAAATTAAATGTTGTAATAAAATTATCAGAGAAGAGGGAATAACTATTGTCAACAGATAAGGGGAAAGATATAGAGAATTTTGAGAACTTTAGAGAATATTTTGAATTGAAAACTTGTAATACATAGAACTAAAAACTGCATATGATAGATACTTGAATAAAGGGGAAAATATAAACATGAAAAATAAAAAAAAGCAGCTAAAATAACTTATCCTATTCGACTATTGCATCAAATTTGTAGAATTTTCTTAATATTATCACCTTATTAAATAACTAAAAATAGTTTATTTTCACAATTCAGAAAAGATTCTATTAATTGAGATTGAAGAGTTGTTATCTAATTGTAACAAGGTGGTTCGGGATAAATGCCAGTTAGACAAAGAGAAGAGAATACTGGAAACGTGGCATCATCATTGTTCTTTTAATTATTAAGCATATAATAAATAAATACACTAATTCCCTTTTGTAATTGGCTACATCGGAGGATCCTCTTTGTTATTTGTTTGAGAGTTGAGAAATGCATCTCTTTGTAATTCTACCTTACGTACGGAAAATAATTATCGAGTTGTATTGACAATTAAAACTAGGCAGTCTGAGATTAACTCGAATTCAAATTGGACGTGGAGAACGCGTGTATTATTTTTTTTGCACGTATCAATACAGTAAACGAGATGAATAACTTCAGGAATAAGCCATAAAATCAATGTATCTATGATAACAGATAGATATTAATCGTCGTCTAGAAGCAGCATCATGTTTAGAATTAGCAAGGGAATGACAACTATCTTATCGAACTGGATGAAGACAATCCTAAAATTGTTGGATTATAGGATCATCTATACATTATCGAGAGGATTGCGCCGTCAATTGTAGTAGTCCTTTATGAACTGGTCATTTATAGCCCCGTTCAATTATTATATAAGGATAAAATTTCAATATCTGCAGTTCCTTAACATAATTTCCTCTTCCGCCTCGACTAATTATCAGTCTGGAAGCGCTATCAATATACCTTCTAGTTAAAGTAGTTTGTCTTATTTTTCTAATATTATTATCGATTAAGCATGATTTATTTTTATAAAATTCAATAGAGAATGCTTTTTTTATATAGTTATCTATTCAGTTATACTTCTCAACAACGATCCTCCTTATCAACTTGAAGATCTGATAAAGTAATGATGGTGAGATGTTAAAGTTGAAATAATATCAAAAAATGAGGATTTGATAGATTAAAAAGAGGTTTTCTAAGGTTTGATGTCCACAAATTCTCGGTTTTTAAATGAATTTCTTTACTTATCCTACATCATTTATATTTTTTGAAGAAAGTTACGTCGTAAGATAGGAAAGAATGGTGGAAGAATTAGCCGAAATTCCGGTTCTAAATACGAACAAATGACCAATTAAATATTATCGAATCGCTTCATCTTAGCAATAATGGAAATTTTTAAATTAAAAATCCCCTACCAATCGACTTTATTAAGTCATTCATTGAAGAGAATTTCTCATCATCCGACTAATAAATACAATCATGAAAAAGTGGATCTCATAGAGTTCTTTCTTTACACAAAAAAAAAAGAAAGAAATCCGTTGTAATTTGAGAGGTTCGCATTCCTCCATTCCCATCCGCGATCACGTGATGGGTTCAACTGCATCTCTATCTTCTACCGATCGTATCCGAGCAACTATTATCAGCTGATTACCACACATCGGTACAAGAGGCTTTAGTACATTTTCATTTTTAAATGGGAGAAAATTACTCTAAAGTCTAATTTAAAGTTGAGGAAGTAACTACTTATGAGTGAATGGATGCCCATCTCTCTCCAGCGAATGTTAGGATTATTTTCAAACATTAATTTCTTTCTATTTAAACGGTGTCTGGATGACGAAAGTAGGCGACTTTAATTGAAATTGGCCAAAGATTTAAAGATATACGAAACGAAGCATGGCCGATAAGGCTTTCGTGCGGTGTCATCGAATTCCGGACACAAATTTCTAGCTATTAAGATGAAAGGAATTAATTTAGGATTTTTCCTGCTCCATTAAAAATTACATTTATAAATAAAAGTGAATAATTCCATAAACTGCTCTAATGGACGGTTAATGAACGGGAATGTTAGAGCAAGAAGCATCTCTGTCTCCCTCGACTTGTCAAAAAATGTCCTCATTTCGAATCTTGATGAAGAAGTACGTCGACACACAGTATAAAAATTTATGCATAAATGTGAAAAATAAACATTACAAGATAATAAATATATAATGATGATGCTTGGAAGAAATCGAACGAATAGAAAGAGGGATAGAAGATAAGGATTCAGAACAGTAAAATTCGCAAAGGAGAGCTGTAGAGTGCTTTAAACGAGAAACTAAGTTCTTTAGCCAGAGTAAGATTAAGTGTTTATACTGTGCACACAACACATCCTATCTATTGACTTTTCTTCTCCTTCTAACTGCTGAAATCGTTTATAAGGAATCCGATCAGACGAAGTGAAGTCGACTAAATTCCAACATTTATTGAGCCTATTTCCTCTTTTAGAACTTGTTGACAATCAACCCTGCGCGAATTCCAAACGTTTCTGACAGATACAATACCTTCATCCATTGGAAATTTACCAGATTTAAAAGAAAAAAACGATATAAATTGTCTCTCTAAGACGTCTAACCTGTTGTTTCAACTTCAATCATCAGCTGCAGACAGAAAATGGCAGGATTTGAAAGAAGGAAATGCTTTCGAAAAATGAAATTTATATTATTTCTGATCATTTATACGACTACGTAACACATAAATTTTAATTTGTACGTAATCAAATGCCCTCCAGTAAAGAGAAGAAGAATATTAAGATGCTGGAAGAATATGCTGTCGTAGGGATATAAAAAACAATGGAAATCAAATATAAAAATAAAATTTCAGTATAAAACGTTACACGGAAGCCAAATATATGTAAAATAAAATATCTTTTAATAATATTTTTATTAGGAAATACAATTTTGAAAAGAACAATCCAGATTCTAACAACGAATAGACAAGACAAATAGCGTAATTAGATAGGAAGTTGCGAATAAATTGGAAATAAATAAATAAAAAATATATTCCAAATAAAAGAAAATTTGTAATGGAGAAGATTGGATAAATATGAGATGATTATTATTATATGGGAGAAAATTGAAGATTAAGACTAGGAGTAAAATTGAGTTAGATCAAACAGAACGAAGACAAAAGGATGGAGTTAAGAGGGATGCGACGTCGGATGCGAAGGTTTGATAATACAATAATCAAGAATAATAAAAATAAAAATGAGAAACACGTGTAGGTAATTTTATTTAAACAAAGTAATATATTCGATCAACAATTTGTATATTTATATAGTCGAAAGCGGAATAACATTCGTTAAGAGTAAAAATCCTTTACCCAAATGACAAAATTTTGTTTATTTATATGATAATATTACAATAATAAGAATGAAAATCATCAGTTTTAATTTAAATTTATCATTTTAAATAATCGAGATTATCATTTCTAGTAATTTAAAAAGTTTAAAGAAGCTTAAGTGAAGGTAAATTAGGAGCTTTCTGCCATTCATCGAAATTCATGAAATGTTGCGTTTAGAGAAAAGTTCGGGACTAATGTTAATTCGTTTCTTCATAGATAAAATTTCACGTCTTTCAAGGGGATATGCAGGCTTTTTCTATCGTCAATTCACTTTAAATGTTATTCTAATAGCCGATTGTCATGTAAATGAAACTTATTTAATGAATTTTGTTAAGTGCCATTTACATAACACAAGAAATGCAATTTGAGAGCGCTGAATTAAAGAAAACACACCAATACTTTCCTCATCGACTCGATAAAATCTGAAAAGCAAACATCCCTATGTTGAGAAATTTTCAGTTATCCACGAGTTTTCTGCATCATCTCTTACCATAAATAAACAATACTCACCACTGATCTTAAATTCCACCTTTTGTACTTATTATAACTATAAAAAAAGGTGTGTAAACTTTAAAATATCGTCCTTAAAACACGGTTTATAATTATATGAATGGGTAGAATTTATAGATTACTTTAATTCTCCTTTTTTTCCTACTAAATTTTCAATTTATAAGGTGTTTAAATAGTTTGGAACGAGGAAGATTTAACTGTTAAGAGTCAGAAAGTCAGCCTAACTTTGTTCATTATAAGAATTTCTGTGTTTTTTTTAATGTTCTAAGACGTGACAAGTGGGTAAAAATGGTCATGCAGACGGGATAACTCAGTAGAAAATGAAAGGATAATCAGAAAGTGATGACTTAACCGGAATATAATTTTTGAAACAAAAAAAAAAAGTGGAAATCGAGATTTCAGAGAGTAACAATAATAAAAAAAATTATATAATAATTACCTTTAAAAAAATGAAATTTAAAAAGTTAAATTTTAAAAAATAATAATAAAATATTAAAAAATGTGTATAAGGTACTCACCAGTTCCTCTGTTATTGAGAGGAGGGCTGGGTGCAGGCGTCGCCTCTGTGGGACTGGAAGGCTGTCGATATTGCCATCGGTTGGTGTGATCAACCGGATATTTAACCTTTTTGACCAGGAACGATCGGGGCATGGTGTCAGAGTTGAAAGGTCAACGACCTGGCCTCGTAGGACGGTATGGATGTGACATAACGGCGTCCGTCTGGCAACTTCCGCGATGTAGGACTGCCAACAGTCAGTGCTAGTCTTCCCTTTTATACTCTCGTCCAGATTAGTGGCGCACTCTCCATCGCTTCCATACTCTGGTTTCGCGTTTCGATTTCTTTGCCTCGTGCCCTTCCACTCTCCCTCTCCTCTTCCCTAAACAATAATTATCTATGATAATTAAGTGCCTTTCCCCTAACCGTTTTCTAAAGCACCAACCCTAAACTTGACATTATTCCTTTAAATAATTCCCAAAAACCCTATCTTCTTCCATAATTTTCCATAATTCGAGTGCATCTCATAGATTTGGACGACATCCGGTTATCAGATGTTATCTTTTTCTATGCCTCCAGCATCCACGGTAAGACGTATTTTAAAGATTTTTTTTTTTTAGTAAAAATGATTTTAAACACGCGATTTAAGTAATTAATAAGGTATAATTAAATGATATATATAAGTTAAATACTTTACTGTTTTAAACTGGTGCTTGTAAAATTCGATAGAGCGTTATTTAATATTTAGGTTAACGCGCGGATAATTGGCTTATCGAGTGTGTAATCATAAAATGTAATTTAAAATTTCGAAAATGTGGAGCTTAAAGGCTCGGACGAGACTCGTTTAATTTTAAATAATTCCATTACAAAATATATTCTGCACAAAATATTATTAATACGCGGATTCGGAGGAGAGAATATCAAGAAACTGGATCAAATTCGATTTTGGTTTAAAAAATTGATGTAAACACAAGAAGATAAACATGTAAAAATAATTGAAAAGAGAAGATAAGTTTCAAAAATCTTTAAAACATCAAAAATTTGTCAAGCGAACCAATCGGACTCTTCTACATCTTTCCATTGGACTGCATCCAACTTTACAATTCGCTCTCATGTTATTTTTATCAAGCTTATATGAAACAAATAGGCTCCCGGACGACAATAGACTTATTCAAATTGAATAATATCTGATTGACGATAAAGTTGAATATTTATTTATTTTTAAAAACGTTTTTTCTCTTTATAGTGCCGCAAATACCAGATTTGCGTCAATATATAGAAAAGATATCGTTTATAGTAAAGGAAACATCGTTTTGTAGATACACCTCGTTCGTCTCCCGTGTCCGGATTCATCAATCTTCTCCTAAGAATTTTCAGCTTCTTTTACCGATAGATCTTTGCCAATATTGTTTATGTTGGACACAATTATTCAAACTACTATTCAAAGAATGATGTGTTCAATATCATAAACTGCATATAAGGCTCCCGCCTTTAATGTTAAGACGTTCCTAAATATTGCTTGAAATATTTATCGGAATCCATAAATGCATTCAAATCTTTTTTACATTTTCATACATCATAGTTTGAAGTCAAATTTTAAATAATTAAATTTATTAAACGGGATTATTAATCTTTCAATTCTTTGGGCGGAGTTTTCTTGCAAACGCTTCGCCTGGCCGTCGAGAGGAGTTATTGAAAAATTGGGCGGAGAATTTAGGGATTAAAACCTCGAAACTTGATTAAAGAGATGGCCAATTACACGTTTTATTAGTTAAATTAATTAATCCCCTTCATGAAAAGCCAGTGTAAATTATATATGGCTTCTTGTTTCTGATTAAAATTAAGTTTTGCTTGGTTGCGGATAACTCGGAACTAGCCCTAGTTATTATTAATAATAAATTAGTTCTTATCTGTTATTATATACGGAATATACATATATGTATATGTAAATAATTCATTTCCTTAAGTATTTTCACGACTTAGGAGAGAGAGAGGAGCACATTTAAATCTAACTTTTGTATTATTCTCAGTTGAGAAAAGCTAAAACTATTTCTCCTGCATTTACAACGAAGTAATTTAAGTTGAAGTGAACAACTTACAGCGAACAATGCGACTGAGGTAGTAAATTTGCTCTAAGTTTCGCCCTTCTCAGTAAAAGACATTGCATCGTTATAGATGCACGTAATTTACCCGAACTGTGACAAAATGGTTCGGAATACAAAAACAGCAAACTTCTACTTTAATCAAGTATACCGTTAAGTCGGTAAATATCTGAACGATCGGTTTAAATGTAGGGGAGGGGATATCCATCACTCTTTTCTCTGTATCTGTCACATACTATATACCGGTCCTAATGAAGCCTCAGAAGGAGACAATGGAACGACCGGGATATAAAAACCGGCCTGTGATGTCACAACTGTAGACTGAATGAGACCGAGAGTGACTAAAGGGGTTGAAAGGACAATGTGACTCCATTCACTACATTCGAGGTTTACTCCTGAAAGGGAATTGATAAATTTCTCTAATTTAATTATATGGCCTGATGTACAGAAGTAAATAGGAAGTGCGTGTCCTAAGGAATCGTTTCAGTCCGACTCCAATAGGTAAAAACAGTTATATAAGTGGTCTACGTGTAATTCTGTTAGGTCGGGCGAAACCGGATTACCCCTGAAATTCAGTCTTCTCCGCAGTAAATTAAGTAATGAGGAGAAGCCTACCGAAAGAATTTCGACGCTTCAGATAAATGTTAAGCGTTTAAAACCAAACATCTAGCCAACTGTTAGTCACTATTAAGCGACCTAATTAAAATGGCGACAATGTCCTCAATTAAAAGGGGATATCATTGTGTTGGGTTTATGTTTAACGTACCATAAACGAACAAACAATCTCCCGGTGTGCAGCTGTCCGGCCAGATTGAAGGCATACTTTGTGCTTTATGATATAAGGCGGAAGAAGTTGCTTAGTAAATGACGTAGCTCTTTTAATTGGATATGTGCGTTCAGTAATTGAATCACACAGTAAAGAACTCAGCGTGTATACCGAAAGGACGAATGTTCGGTATGCTAGTTCCGTAGTAATTGCGCTGTTGGTGCGGAGAAGGCATTGTTTCGCGAGCAGTTCTCTTTCTGGCAGTTAGCGAGCCGAAAGTGATCTGATTACATGAGGATACTGCACGCTCCATTAATCGGCCTGTATCACCAGCGCCACCTACCTTGCTGTGACGTCACGGACATAACCTAAAGTTGCATCGCAGCGATCCATCAAGTCTAATGGACGGACCAGTGTATGGCCTTTACGCTTTTTTCTCTTGATTCACAGTTATTGTTCCTTTGAATTACGCGGCCCGGATAACTATGTTACATCGATTCTGACCGAACGACATCCTTTTTTCTTCCTTTTCTCTCCCTAACCCAAAACACCCATTAGGGAAGCAAACTGTAAACTTTCAATTAACAAATCTACACTCGCTATCGTCTACTTCACACTCTAACACAACTGTAAATGATCGTTTCGGCTGCTGATACGATTAAACAACCTCGCACAAATCTACAAGATTAATAAAAACTTTAAAAAGTTTACAAGTTTCAGTAAATATCTAATTATTTTAAATATCTCTTCGATTAGTTTTAATGTGTTTATCTTCTTCTTCTTCCTCCTCCTCCTCCTCGACAAGAGTTTAAAAAGTTTGTATAAATTTCCATATTTGACGACATAAGTAATATTAAGTAGTCGGATATAAACGGTTCGAAAATGAAAAACTTCATCCTCTTTTAATGCTCGTGTCACTCAACAGATCACCCATTTTTTTCCCTTTTAATTCGTCTCCAGAGCTTGAAATTAAGCTTGAAAATTCTCCCATTAATGAAACTGATTAGAGCTTCTTCGTTTCGCAAATGACAGAGGAAAGCCTTTATCAACGGAGGATCAAAAGAATAGTCAATTGTTGGAGAAAGTGAAGAGTTAAGCAGTTGCTTCATCGACGAAGTAAGGCCGAAGGGTTGGAAATAGAGGGGAAAAAAAGGAAAGTGAAAAAACAGCAGCCGACCGATCACTAATTAGATAGCATGTAGAGAATAGTAGTGCTTAAAGCTCCGCCCTGGCGAGTCAGGTTACAATGGCGACAGGCAACAGGCTCGTTACAGGTTGTCCCTCATTATATACGTCGCTGTTTTCTCCAGAGAGATAGACAGACAGACGTACAATCGAGTTACGCAAAAAGGAAATATAAAATCTGACTTTTCGGACGATTTCTACATAGCTTCTTTATGCTTAATGACCGTCTTTTCTTGTTTGATAGATGGCTAATCCCGACCACACTCCTTTTTTTCAAGGCCCCAGAGAGGGATTCTCGCAGAATTCGTCAGTCCTTGACATTGACAAAGTGTAGTCAGAATCAATTTGGGAATTAAACTGCCATTGTCTTTTCTCTACTACTGCTCTATCACTATTTTTAGTACGGATATATTTATGTTATGGCTGTGTTGCCTCGTCTATCAGTCCTTAATCTCGGAATATCTCAAGTAGTGTATTAAGCAATTCCAGACATGTCGAGAAAAACATGGGAAATTGGAAAATGTGGATCGGCACAAGACATTCTGACGTAGCTATATAAAAAAATATGCTTAATTTCTAGAAATTCGCAAGCATTTTTCATAAAAAAACTACAAAATTATCAAGATTAGATATTAAAAATCCAGTTAAAACTTACATTAAAATCTCTGGTCCGGTTGTAAGGAAATTAATTGAATGTTTCTGTAACGGAACAACTAGAATGTCTGGCTAATATTGATGATAATGGAGAATGAAACATGAGAAAGAGACGATTTCCGAAACCGCCAACAACCGAAGTTAACAACAGCCTAAGTGCATAACAAAGAAAGTTTAACTAGCTTTTCCTCAGGTGAATGCAATCTGACAGACTCTGATTAATCACCTGACAAGCTTTACACCATCTGTTGAACCACCTTATCTACAAGGTGACACATAGATCAGTTGTGAATATTTATAATGACGTAGATAACATCATTGTTCAGCAGAACGCCTCCCCCTTAACGGATTCTTTATAATGACGACGCCGTTAACAAGTTTGTTCTGGAATTTACCCGCAATCTTTAAAAATTGTATTATCTTTTTGACATATTCTTCACTCTCTACGCATAGGCCTAGGGATAAATTGATGTAAAATTTCATTCCGGCTTACAAACCCAGTTGAAATTTGAATAAAATGTAATTATAATATAATTA